GCTGCTGCTGCTGCAGCTGCTCCTGCTGCTGCTGCCTACACTTTTGCGGGTTGCTGCGGACGCAGGAAAAGATAATAATGTCTTTTTCTCTTCCTTGAAAAGCATCAACAGAACTCAACTCCACTTCTGCTGCTGCTGGGCTCCGCAGCAGCAAAGTCCGCAGCATGTTGCGCTGCCCAATGTACGGGGTTATTACCCCAATCTGGTCGCATCTGCAGCAGCAGCAGCAGCAGCAGCAGCAGCAGCAGGGAGAGGGGTGTGAAGTGCCAGCAGCAGCAGCGGCAGCAGCTGCAGCAAACGATCCAGCGCACGCTGCAGCAAGGCCAGAGGAAGAAGCAGCAGTAACAGCAGCACCTGCTTCAGCAGCTGCAGCAGCAGCAAGCTCAATTGATGCAGCAGCAGCAGGCCCAAATGCAGCACCAGCAGCAGATCCAATTGCACCAGCAGCAACAGCAGCAGCAGCAGCGGCGGACCCAACTGCCGCAGCAGCAGCAGCAGTACACCCAACTGCAGCAGCAGCAGCAGCAGTACACCCAACTGCAGCAGCAGCAGCACATCAAACTACAACAGCAGCAGCAGCAGTGCATCCGACTGCAACAGCAGCAGCAGCAGTGCATCCGACTGCAACAGCAGCAGCAGCAGTGCATCCGACTGCAGCAGCAGCAGCAGCAGCAGTGCATCCGACTGCAGCAGCAGCAGCAGCAGCAGTACATCCGACTGCAGCAGCAGCAGCAGCAGCAGTACATCCGACTGCAGCAGCAGCAGCAGCAGCAGCAGCAGCAGCATACGTTGCTCCTGCCCTGAGAAGAGCCACCACGAGCCGCTCCACAATTGCTGCTTCTCCTCTGTTCACATAAGAGGTCCCCGTCGAACTCAACTCTTCACGGCCTGCGCCAAACCCTAAACCCTAAACCCTAAACCCTAAACCCTAAACCCTAAACCCTAAACCCTAAACCCCAAACCCTAAACCCCACACCCTTAAACTCTAAATCTTAAACCCTAAACCCCAGTCCTCAGCCCTAACAACTAAGCGCTGAACCCTGAACCCTAACAACTAAACCCTAAATCCTAAACCCTAAACCCTAAACCCTAAACCCTCAGAAAGGAGTGCCTTGCAATGAAAGCAGGACTGAGCCACGAGCCAACTGGATTTTATAATTTATTTATTTCATTTATTTATTTATTTCCATTTATTATTTCTTATTTTTTATTTATTTACTATTATTAATTATTTGTTAATTATTATTCAGAAAAAAGCAAAAGAAGACTTGAGAAGCAAATGGCAGCAGCAAATTGTCAATAAGAGAAAAGGAGCGACAAACTGAATAAAGGTGCAGCAGCAGCAGCAGCTGCTGCTGCTGCAGAAGCAGCAGCAGCAGCGGGGAAAGCCAGAAAGGACGAAAGAGGAACCAAGCGGCAGCAGCACTCTCACGCAGCCAAGCAGCAGCAGCAGCAGCAGCAGCAGCAGCAGCAGCAGCAGCAAAAGGGTAATGCCCCGGTGCTCGTGAGCGACCAAAACAAGAAGCAAACAAACGAACAAAACAAAACAAATAGATAATTAAATGAATAATTTAATTAAATAATTAATTTAATTAATCGAATTAATTAATCATTTAATTAAATTAATTAATTAACCGGACTTGTGCAATTGTAGAAGAAAGAAGGCAGCTGCCCCCGCGGCCACTCAAAGGGCAGGCGGCAGGCGAGGCTGCTGCTGCTGCGGTCTGCTGCTGAAACTCCATTTTGAAGAGAACCATTATAGAAGCAAAGAGACGGAAAGTGAGACAACGCCGGGTGCATTCTGCAGCAGCAGCAGCAGCAGCAGTGGTAGCAGTGGCAGCGCAGCAGCAGCAGGAGTCATAGCAGCAGCAGCAGCAGCACCAGGAGTCATAGCAGCAGCAGCAGCAGCAGCAGGAGTCAGCAGCAGCAGCAGGAGTCATAGCAGCAGCAGCAGCAGGAGTCAGCAGCGGCAGCAGCAGCAGCAGCAGGAGTCATAGGAGCAGCAGCAGCAGCAGCAGGAGTCATAGCAGCAGCAGCAGCAGCAGCAGCAGCAGCAGCAGCAGCAGCAGCAGCAGCAGCAGCAGCAGCAGCAGCAGCAGCAGCAGCAGCAGCAGCAGCAGCAGCAGCAGCAGCAGCAGCAGCAGCAGCAGCAGCAGCAGCAGCAGCAGCAGCAGCAGCAGCAGCAGCAGCAGCAGCAGCAGCAGCAGCAGCAGCAGCAGCAGCAGCAGCAGCAGCAGCAGCAGCAGCTACCTGTACTGGACAGAAAGCCTGAAGGCGGGCATGTTGAGCAGCAGCAGCCGCACGAAAAGAGAAACACCAAGTCCACTTGCTGCTGCTCTTTTGGAAAGGACAACAGGGCCAAGTTGCATTTGATCGCCAATTAAAATAACCTGAAAACCAGCAGCCGCAGCAGCAAATCGCAGCCCCTGCTGCTGCTGCTGCTCGTCGTGCTGCAGCCGCTGCTGCTGGTCGTGATGCTGCTGCTGCTGCTGCTGGCCGTGCTGCGGCTGCTGCTGCTGCTGACTGAGCTCGTGGTCAGGCTGTTCCTGCTGCTAATGCTCTGCTGCTGCTGCTGCTGCTGCTGCTGTTTAGGTGGCTGGATAGGACAAGCAACAGCTAAAATCGAAGAGTGAAAAGACAAAAAAAAAGTAAAAGAAAAAAAGAAAACAAAAGGGACAAAAAGGGAAATAAAAAGAAACAAAAAAGAAATAAAAATGAAATGGAAACAAAATCAATAAAATTAAAATTAAATTAAAATTAAATAAAATTAAAATTAAAATGAAACAAAATAAAAATAAATTAAAATGAAAATAAAATAAAGAGGAATAAAAAGGAGACAAAAAGGGCTTCAAAAGAGACCAAAAAACAGAATAAAAGTTAACAAGAAAAGAATTAAAAATAATTAAAAGAAAATAATGAAAGAAATGAAAAGAAAAAGGAGAATAAAAAATGAAAAAAAGAAAAAAGAAGACAGTTGAAAAGAAATAAAACAGAATCAAAAAAGAATCAAAAAAGAAGCAAAAAGAACCCAAAAAGAATCAAGAAAGAGCAAAAAGGGAACAAAAAAAAGAAGAAAAGAGGAAAAAAAGAGAATAAAAAACACCCGAAAAACAGCAAAAAAAGACCCTCAAGCGCGTCTCTCAAAAGCCCTTCTCAAAACAAATAAAGGGAACCAAAAAAGAACCAAAAAGGGCTCAAAAAGAGTTCGAAAAGAGCTCAAAAAGAACTCAGAAAGAATCAAAAATAATGAAAAAGAATCAAAAAGAATCAAAAAGAATCAAAAAAAGGGGAAAAAGAACAAAAACTAATCGAAAAGGCAAAAACGCCAAAAAAGCCCTTCAGACGCGTCTCCCAAAAGCCCTTCCCAAAGCAATCAAAGACAAACAAAACAGAGTCAAAAAAGAATCAGAAAAAGAACAAAAAAGAACAAGAAAGAACAAAAAAGAACAAAAAAGAAGAAAAAAAGAGCAGAAAAGGCGAAAAGAGAGAACAGAGAGTGGTCGGAAAAGGGCAAAAACGCGCCAACAAAAGCCCTCCAAACGCGTCTTTGAAAAGCGCCTTCGAAAAGAACAAAAGGAGTCCAAAAAAAGATCAAAAAGGAACAAAAAAGAACAAAAAAAGACAAAAAACAAAAACAGATTTACCTGGTTTGCACCCAAAGTGAGGGGCACGAGGGCCTCGGGCTCTGTGGCCTGCGTGGCCTCATCGATGAGCACTGCGCGGTAAGAAAGTTGAGAAACTCTCTTGTCTCCTAAAAACAAATAATAAATAAACAAATAAATAAATAAATAAATAAATAAATAAATATCTAGGATTCATTTGATGTCTTTGGAGGCAAGAAAAACGAAAAGAAAACAAGACAGAGGGCTGCAGCAGCAGCAAGTGCCAGCAGCAGCAGCAAACAGCAGCAAATCAAATAAATCAAACTAAATTAAATTAATTAAAATAAAGAACTTAATTAATTTAATTTAGTTTGATTTAATTTAATCAAATTAATTAATTAATTAAAAGTACCAGCTCCCAAACAAGTCACGCAAACCACATCTGCTTCCAGCAGCACTTCCAACTCGCATTTAAAAATTAAAGTCCGCAGCAGCCGCTCTTCTGCTGCGCAAAGCTCCCCCTCCTGCAGCAGCAGCAGCAGCAGCGGCAGCAGCAGCAGCAGCGGGGGCGGCGGCGGGGGCAGAGAGGCAGCGGCAGAAAAAGCGGCAGTAGCAGCGAAGCAGCAGCAACAGCAGCAGCGGCAGCACAGCAGCAGCAGTAACACAGCAGCAGCAGCAGCAGCAGTTTAATTCATCCTCTGTGGGATCTGATCTTTGTCCAGGACAATCTGCAGACTAAACACGCCAAACCGCTGCTTGACTCTGGAGAGCTTAGGGTTTAGGGTTTAGGGTTTAGGGTTTAGCATTTGCTGCACTTTTTGTTTCTTGCGCTGCAGCTCGAGCATTGCTGCTGCTGAGGGGGCACTTCTGGCCAAAACGTGCAGCGCCAAATGCTCCACTGCAACAGCAACTCCATCTTCTGCTGCTGCTTCCCGCTGGCTCGAATAAACCCGCACTACCTGCAGCAGCAGCAGCAGCAACAGCAGCAAGGGCAGCAGCAAAAACGGCACAGCAGAACGGTGGCAACTGCACAGAAACAGCAGCAGCAGAAGCATGACAGCAGCACCAGCAACACGACAGCAGCAGCACGACAGCAACAGCGCCACAGTAGCAGCCGCAGCACGGCAGCAGCAGCAGCAGAACCGCCGCACCAGCAGCAGCACCACCACCACCGCCACAACAGCAGCACGACAGTAGCAACAGCAGCAGAACCA